ATAATCTTGAGTACTATGGAAAATACACTTTTTCAGATGTTGCTCCCTCACTCTGGAACCCTTCACCAGACCAAGGAAGGACTACAGCATGCCTAAGTTCTTTAAAGAGTGAAGTAAAGGCTTTTTATTCAGCTATTTCTTTTATATTTTCTCACCACAGATTTGTTTCTATATTAACAAATTTTATTATGTAATTTTCATGTACATTTTAGCAACTTTGTTAAATTAACCAATGTTGGTTGATTGCTAGAAATGTAAATAAAACATACAATCATTATCATCATTTTTATACGAAATGTATAGAGAACAGTATGGAGAACATGCTGCTGATTTTAGGGTACAAAAGAGTTAATCACTTAGTATTTACAGTGTAAAGTCAAAGCAAGACACTTGTTGTTATAAAAATTATTTGTTTATAAAGAAATTGTGACTGAACACAACTCTAATTCTAGCAACCATTTTACAGAGTCTACCAATTGTGACTAAGGAAAAATTCATCTTGGACCCCTAATGCCCAGATACTTTTGTGGAAGTAATTTAAAAATAATAAACCTAATTACCGCTTAAGAGAGACAACTTGATGTGTTTGAGACAATAGTTTGCCTCCACAAAAGATACCCCGCGGTTACCAACAGTAAACATGTTTACATCATTAAGTGACGTGCGTGAAATTTTAAAACTCCAAACTACAGCGCACAACAGCCCTCGAATATGTTATCCCCGTAAACCAGAACAAGAATTCTTCCAATTTTATGAGAGCAGAGAAATTGTGATCTCAAGACTATGTTTCACTGTTTCCTTGTAGATCTTTCAAACGTTATAATCTACAGAACACGCTTTCGACATTTCAACATCTGTAGCTGCACTTTCGTGCTTCCAAATGACTAACCTTAACGTGAATTTAATGAATCTCACATCACCTTAATCTACTCCAAATTTATACAATAAGCTAAAGTATTACATCTTCCAAACTTTTCGTTAATTCATCTTGATAAGCGTTCGTGAATTTTCCGATTGCAATACGCGTAAGAGTGATTTCCTACATTTGTTTACACTCACTTCAAATTGCGAAACGTTATTAGAGCACAACACATTAGGATAGGTATAGTTCACTTTTTACATCACTCATAACATGATCACTAGTTTAATCGCATCGTCCGATAATAACTGCACTACCGTCGTCTGCGAGAATGGAATGTTAATTGTTTCAAACAGGACTTCAAGATTCTAATTAATTTGGACCGCGCTATCCAACGGATAAATCGCTATCCAGCGGATAAGTGTTACCAAAACGTACTGCGCTATCCACCGGATAGAGATTTATCCAGTGTATAGCGTTATCCATCCTTCGAACAACCGGGCCCAGACTGGTAACTGCTTCCTTACACCGTTATATGAATAATTTGGACCGCGCTATCCAACAGATAAATCGCTATCCAGCGGATAAGTGTTACCAAAACGTACTGCGCTATCCACCGGATAGAGATTTATCCAGTGTATAGCGTTATCCATCCTTCGAACAACCGGGCCCAGACTGGTAACTGCTTCCTTACACCGTTATATGAATAATTTGGACCGCGCTATCCAACAGATAAATCGCTATCCAGCGGATAAGTGTTACCAAAACGTACTGCGCTATCCACCGGATAGAGATTTATCCAGTGTATAGCGTTATCCATCCTTCGAACAACCGGGGCCTGAGGGACAAAACTCAAAATGCGAAAATTAGTTACAAACTTAAGATTCTCCTGACCATGAAATAATTCATAGACAGACTGGAAAAACATAGAAGTCAAGGGATGAGCACGGCTATCGATCTCTTCTCTGTTTTCAGTGACGCTTGGCTTCCTCGACGACGACGCGGCTGGGGGCTACATCCTCGAAATCGTCCAATCGCCCAAGAGAGTGACCAGGCATATGGCGAGGAGATGAAGAGAGAGAAGGGAATGAAGCCAGAGAAAAACATGGATATTGACTCGGGAACTGAGCTCCAAGATCAGGAAAATGAAGATTATTACCTTGATGACGAAATCTGATTTGCTCGAGGAAGACGTTTACTCTAGACCAATCCAGTTTCTGGAGATCCACGCAGGCATAGCTTCAGACATATATTCAAATCTCATCCATTTCTTGGAAAAAAATTTGCATTGAATGTACTCAACACTTCGTGCAAACTGTGTTTGTTTGTGTTTTTATGTGAAGGAAAAAAAGAACTTGGCTTAGGGAAGTGTTACCCTTTCGTATTTGTCCTCCCTTCTTGATAAGCACACAAAAACACCGTCTCATTTCAGTCAAGGACGAAGTTATAAACACCTTTAACTCTGCCACCTCGACTTTTAAGGATGAAGGCTAACTGGTCCTAATTCTGAGAAGAAAACGGAACAAGAAATATCCCCTATGAATACAATCACAATAATTCACTCCCATGGTTGAAGGCGCTCCTTTTTTTGAAGAATAGCCCACCAGGGATCAACGTTGTCAGGTTTTATTTGTACTAGAGTGAGCCCGGCTCGTTACATCCATGGTTACGTCGTAGTCAACTGAAAATTAAATAATTTCGGGATACATTATTATCTACAATATTCTTAGTCGAAATGCTAAATGGTTTCATAACTTACAATTTGTGTTTCTGCGTAGTCGGATCCCGTGATGTTTTATCTTGATGTTTGCGTTTTTATGACCGTTGATGACCAGCTTCGAATGATGTTACAGCATAAATTGTTCCTTTTAAACTATAAGTCATATGACCTGATTTTCCCGCAGCCCGTAATGGAGGCGAATTAGTAATTAGGATAATTAATTCTACTTTTTTACTACGTGCTCCACTGAACATGCAAATCAGTTGATTATTTCGTACTGTAAAAACAACCTTTTTAACTGGTTGGCTGTATGCAATACACTTCTTCTATCTGCTTGGCTTTTCCCACTTTTTTTGAAATGTGCATGAAATACAGCAGTTAAGTTATAAATAACTTATTAGAGGTTTAGATGTGTGGTACAGGCTCATCAAAATAGGGCACAACTCATGAAATACTAAGCAATACTACACACTAAAATGTCTACTAAGATTTATATCACTTGACATTGATGATAATATCTACTCCGATTGTCCAAATATGAATTACTGTCACCAATAAAAGTCCTCCTCAAGACTATTTTTGCCCTGACAACAAGATTGCATCAACAGAAAATCTAGATTACAAGGCTTAACTTTGTATACCGTTCGACAAAATCTTTTTAATTATGCTGATGTAACCGAGAGTGACTTTGATTTAAGATTTCTACAAACCAAGAAATTAATTGACAATTTTTATTTTGACATATTCTGTGGTCCAGATTTGAAAGAAACACGTCCACCTCAAGAGAACGAATACCCATACAACAACAACTTAACTCCACCCAGGTCAATGTATTACGTAGGGGAGGATGGCAGTAAGTTTGACTGAAAATGCTGCTGAGTTGTTTATATTTAAAAGGTTGAATTATTGTTTAGTTATCCCTACTCCCTGAAGAATTTTTCCTTTAAAAAAAAAACTTACCCCTCAACACTACAAACGGTCCCATTTTTCCTGTATCTCTTAGGTGTTGTTTTGAATAGTCTCAGTCTGTAACTGTGCAAGAATACATTATGAAAGTGTAGTAGCTGTAAAGTTAATTTCAGTTGCATCCTAGCTTTACTGCAATCTCCAGTATAGAATTATACTAATCATCTTTGGAGGAGAACTTAACATAGTGAAGCTTGTATTTTGGAAACCCCTTGAGCTAGGGTGAAGGGGAGGGGGGTATTTTTTTTGTACGTCTACACCTGCTGGCTTTTCTTCTTGGGTTTATTTTTTCACCTAAAATAAGAGGGGGAGGGGGGCCCAGGTTCCTCTCCACTGACACTGACCCAAGTTCCTAATTGTTCATCCTATATTTATCATTTAAGACCAAAAATTCTTTACGTTTTTATTAGCTCTTTGTATCATTCCTTGATATGCTAATTGCTATGTACTGAGTGGGGAAAATAACAAGCTATTTGAACATTTGTAGGATCTCGTCCTTATCAAGAAATCATTGCAAATGTTCAAAACACAATGTTCTCTGATTTTGGATCACCTTTAGCTTTGGAACCAAGACCACAAGGTACTGAAATAATGACTAGGATGGTTTTATAAAAAAGGTGTTCCATAAGAACAATCACAAGATGCTTGAAGGCTCTTGTCCATGAAATCTATACTACCTAGCTCTTTAAAGCCAACCAAAAACAAGGTTTGGCTATGAGGTTAAGATGTGAAAGTAGAAATGATAGACTGTGATGTGTGGAACATTTAGAGATCTCATTTATTTACTAATTCTCCCTACGGCCTGCCTTACAATTCTTATAATGTTACTTTGGAGAATTTGACATCTGATCAACTAATTATTCCCTAATATTTGATATCTTTCTTTTTTAATATCACTTGTCTGCTTGATATTGTATTTGCAATGTAAGGAGAAATTCTGCCTTGATCAATCATGGGAGTGAAAGAGTTAAAGCCCAGGTTAAAGCCTGGGTTAATTAAATTGAAGTAAGAAAAAGGAAAAGTTGTGCTGCATGCTGACGAAGCAAATACTGTATCATCTTTCTTTGTTAGATGACTAAGCTCACAAAGTTTCATATCTTTCTTATAATCTACAACTGCAATCTACAACTGCAATCTACATATTAACTCCCATTGCCATGAACAGTCACTGCAGAGTACAGAAAAAAACTAGATCAAAAGTTGCCTAAAAAGATAAATTAGGCTTTAAGACTAATGTTGTTCTTGTTTATTTGTTTGTTTTTTATTGTTGTTGTGGTTTTGGATGAAGTCCGCCATCCCGCAACAGATCGACAAAATGGTAGGATGTTATTTCCTCTCAGTGTTATCATCAATTCATATATCTTATTAACCAAGCGCGAGGGCCGTACTGGGAGAATATCGGCCCGAGGTCTTGACAGTACGGACAGAGCACAGCGAGGTCCGTACAAAAAAGACCGAGGGCCGATATTCTTCCAGTACGGTCCCGAGCAAGCTTGGTTAATAAGAGATTTATTATACGACTGAAGTTCAAAGGGACACAAGTGCGGTATCATTCGGGACCATTCGGGACAGTGCCCGGTCCAATACTGAGAGAATATTGACCGGCAATAGAGCATTTTGATTGGTTGATTTTAGTTATTGGCCCTCTGACTTCTCGAGTCGTGTAATAAATATAATTATTATATTTTCTGTCATTATTTGTCATAACAATAAGTATACAGAAGGTAACTAAAGGTTTTTTGTGTTCAAGGAGTCTGAATTTTGTTCCTAAACCTTGAATAATCAAATGTGAGAAGGTATCTTCAACAAAAGTTTCATTATTTAATATGGTAGAATTTTTTTTTTATTGAAAGGGTCAGACCATCAATATGGAAATGCTGTCTTAGAGCCCAGTTCAATGGGACAACAATGCATTGTTCCAGAAAGTCCACCACGGCCAGGTGAATATTTCAAATGACAAAATGGAAAATTATTGTACATGAAAAGAAGAGTTGTTCTACATATAATTTTGCCAATTAAGCAAATACTGTTTATATTTATTGTATTAATATTATTATCAATATTATATTATTATTTATTATTATTAATATTGTAGCTGTAGGGGGCAGTAGGCGTGATTGATTCTTTCCTGTGGGGGGAACAACTACCTGTAAACGAAAAACTAACAAAAGAAAAAATTAAGAAAGCAGGCTGGTTTAAAAGAGAAGTGTGCTGATTTGATCAGATGATTTTGCATTTTGTGTTTTATAAGTCGTAACTAAGGGTTTTAACTTTTTGTCTAATGAATCACAAACCATTTACTGATTATACTGTATTCGCTAAAGCTAGGTGACAATTCAATAGAGAAACAATGGTTTGAGTTTTGACAGTAATGTTGACAGGGAACTATTACTTTAAAATAGTTCCCCTGCTAGAACAAAAACCTTGTACAGTTTCATGAACACAGGCTGGGCTCATTCATTAATATTTCATTCCCCCAGCGGTATCAGACAAAGTTGCTCTTGTCATTGGAAACCAGCAGTATGAGTGCAGCAAATTGAAAGGACTGTTTTACGCAGAAAAAGATGCATATGATGTGGCTCAAGCCCTTTTAAGTCTTGGATTTAAGGTCAGAGAGAGCTCATGTCTGACAGATTGTATCTCTACTCCTGTGATTTAGGATTGATCACAGAACAGGCACCTTTCTTAATCAATGGTCTTGAACAATTTGCTGTTGCTAAATGATTCTTTTTAACTGTTTTGTATTTGGTAAAGCCAACTTGCTGTTACCTGGCAGATAATAAAAGCTTAAAGTGCCCCTGAGATCAAAATTTTCGTACATCATTTTTTTCCATTTTCGTGTTCAGTGTGTCTCCTTCACCTACTCTGCCAAATTTCAGTTTAGACTGAGCACCAGACATATCTTTTTTCGTGCAGTTAAATTCACATTTGATCATGTTCCGGAAGTTGATCACAGGACTCAGAGGAAGTGACATCAAAGGCTCAACGCGAAAATCTCACACAGCAAAATGTCAAGCAAACATAACAGTACTTTACTCTATTCTTCCAAAAACTAAACAAAAATGACTGGGCATCGATGTGTAATTCAAAGCTGAAGTAATCGTGAAGACCATGCTGCAGGTATTTCTCTGCATCGGAGCCTTGCAAATAGATCATAGTGGGAAAAACGGATGTGATTTGTGCGACCTCACCGAGTAAACTTCAACCATACAGAAATATTTGTGATCTACTCTGAACACTTCTCGGAGGACTGTTTCGAGAGATCTGTGTACTTTGAAGGATCTAGGCAAAGAATTCTGTCGGGTTCAGTGCCTACCGTTCAAGAAGAGAAGAGACAAGAAAAACCTTCCTCAGTGCGATCTCAACGCTGGAAAGCGTAGTCTACAAACCTCCACGGATTTTGTCACCTTTACATATGAGCTGATCAATATCCACCTTTAACAAGTCTCTGGCAGAATACCTTACACAAAGGAAAGTACTCGGTGAACATTGTAAATAAGAATGATAAAATAGCCGAATTGAGGATTGAGATTTCTGACCTCAAAGAGCTCACTTTTATACAAAAGAGATGAAAAATATAATTGTGTGCTCTGATTCTAAAAAAAGCTGGCTTTAATATCAGCGAAAGCAGAACAAACAGCTTAAGACACAGAGCGTAAAAACACTTTAAAATGTAGGCTTGCAGCCAAAAAACCGAGAAAATGAAAATTTCTTTAAAAACCTGTCAAACTATCAACCATCTGACAGCCAAGTCAGCGTGCTATCAAAGGGTCTCAAATTCATCCCAACGCCCGTGACAAACGAATTTAAAATCAGGCCAACTTTTGCGAGATTTATTCGCAAGACGAATGCGCCTCCGTTACACCTTTCACGGACAAAACAAAGAACCACTTCTGTTTCATATCAAACTGAATGCCACCGGTTCAGTCTTCTATCGCCCTTCAGAGCTACTTGGAAAATTGTCATAACGCTACTTGCAGACTGCATCTAAGCCAAAAAATACTTTGTAACGCAATGAGGTCACGGCTCTAAAAGAGTTGAAACAAACTCTGCTTTAAACCTCACCGAAGCAACACAACAATAGTCATCATGAATAAGACAGAAAAAACAAAAGAGGCCAAAGTGCAACTCAACAACAGAGTTCACTTCAAACCTCTCAAAGCACCGATAGTAAAAAACACGTAGGAAAGGGTTAATGAGATCATTGATAGAGAGTTGTGACAAAGCAAAGCATAAGTTTGTTGAGCCTTTGACTTCCTGATGACGTTTTTGCGGGCTCAGCTGGAACATGTTTTCAGCAATGGCAAACGATTTTTAGACGACTTCGAAGCGGTAAAAATTGGTCATCGAAGGTTTTTTTTGAGTTTTTAATGGCAAAAAGGGTCTTAACTTGACCCAATTCAACATTGTGTACACAATTTAGGCCAAAATAAAATGGTCAATTTTCCTATCAGGGGCACTTTAATGGTAATCCCATCAGAATCCTTAATGTAATGTGGGTGTGAACTGTATTTTTGTGGAAGACACTTGAAACTAATGGTAAGCCGCTCAAGTTCGAATCAAGTGGTTCAGGTTCAATCCCGGCCGGGGACATTGTGTTGTGTTCTTGGGCAAGACACTTTACTCTCACGGTGCCTGTCTTAGCCCAGGTGTAAAAATAAGTACCAGCAAATTTAATGCTGGGCGTAACCCTCTGATGGACTAGCATTCCATTTAGGGGAGAGCAGAAATACTCCTAGTCACTTCATGCTACACAAACTGGAGTCAAGCCCTGGTGTAATTGGCTACTTGGCTCATAAACAGTGTTTACCAACACTTATTAATAAATGATTGACAGAGAGTAAACTGAGTGGTGTATTTCCTTATTTGATATTTACAATGAAGGTTGTGGCCTTGGTGAATCTTTCTTTAAGTGAGATGAGGATTGCTGTTCTTTCATTTTGCAGAATGTTAGGTGAGAAACTTGGAATTAATTCGATAACTTGCTGAAATATCAGGAAAAAAATCAGTTTTCAATGGGAGTCTTAGAAGGGGCTGGTTTTGACTCTACACCAATTGAGCTCCAAAATGGCAACATTTTTTTGATGAAAAACAGAAATTATATGCAACTATTGGAGAAAAACATGTTGCCATATATATATTATATATGGCAATGTTTGGTAGGCAGAAAAAAACAACCACCTAAGTATACATCCCTACAGACCTGTAGTTGCTTTTTTCTGCCTACCACACATTATACCCGCTCTACTATTTGTATCGAGCACTGTTTCACTGACACCAAGTTTAATCCCTCTATAGATATATATATATTTTTTTTTTTTGCTTGTTTGCAATTTTAAATGTGTTCCCACCTGAAATTAATTTTAATCAGCGATACTTAATTTAGCTTTCAAAGCAGGCATAATTTGGGTGAGTGAGTGCTCAGCATTTTCTTAGGGAGAAGTGGTGGCCATCTTTTATTTTAATGACAGTGGAAGACTGGGGAGAGAAAGAAATTTGTACTAGGGGGTGAGCGACAGTAAAAAAATTAGGAAAGGGGCTGGAGTTGGAGAGTGAATAATAATACTTGCCCCTTCCCACCCCCTCCCCTTGCCATCGACAGTTAAATGAATGATTGTGTGCTTCTTAATGTTAACTTGCTCTAACAAGATGCCTGCGCTGCAGGCTATACTCAATCGAAAAATGATAGCCATGGTATCATTATGGCAACTGAAGAAACCAGAAGCTTTGTTTTCTCTTGTCAGTAAGGTTATAACTCCCAATTCAATTCTCATTTCATTATAAGGCAAGGGTGTTTATGGAGTACTTTACTATGCTGGTCACGGGTATGAAGATGGTGGAGAAAACTTTCTTCTTCCGGTTGATGCAAATCTGAAGTATAATCGGCAGGACAGTCTGCGTGCTCAAGAGATCCTTGAGACCATGCAAGCATGTGATACAGCTTTAAACCTGTTGATCATTGATTCTTGTCGAATACGGTAAGAAGTTCTAAGCGTAACTGTTTTTTCTCAAAATAATTAACTAGAAGGCTGTATTTAGTTGTCTGGGATAAACTGTTTATGTTGAAAAGGAAAAATTCTGTAGTTAGGAGAGAGAATATGATGAAGTAAATAAATCTTATGTTGGGAGTAATGTTTGAAGTTTTACCAGCCCCATTATTGTTAACAGGTTACCACAGAAAAGAGGCTCTGTTCACCATTGTAAAAGAGGGCCAAAAGGAAATAACATTTTTGCATATTCATGGTGAGTAACTTTCTTCTTGAGAATTGTCTCATTTCAAATAATATTACTTTACTGATATAATTATGCCAGGCCTATTCTTTCTGTTTTGTGAAAAGTCATTTCTAGTTTCCATTTTGTTGCTGTAAATTACATATTGATAAACTTCTTTCAGAGAAAGTTTAAAACAGTTTCATAGAGGGGTAGTGCCATTTTAAAGAAAATTTACATTGCTCTTTTGTTTTTCTATCTGTGCATGTAAAGGGAAATAGATTGCAATCCAAGACATAAAGGGTAGGCACTAGTTTTCTCCCATGCTCTTCTCATTAATGCCACAATAATGCCTAGTGCCCCAGAGAGGGAGAGAGAAAAGTACAGGAAAAAAGTGGTATATAAATTAGAAAAACTGTGTTATATTATTTATTATTTATTATATTATTTATCTAGTGAAAGAGAACTAATAATAGTCCATTTTACAGCTGTGTGCTTGGTTGCCAAGCCATTTAATGGGAGTGAGGCTAGAGATGACCTTGTTATGATACAAACCTTGTTGCCTTTCAAGTGTAAATCACTTTGTTATCATGCTAACTAGATACAGGTCTCTATCACGCCAAGGTCATCTTCAACCCCACTCCAAATCAAAGGCTTGGCAACTAAGTACACAACTGTAAAATGGCCTATTTTGATCTTGGGTTGTTGTGTCAGTTGCTCTCAACAGGAGGCATATGAAGCGCCACACCAGCCAAATGGCTTGTATGCAACACATTTACTGAAACACATCAGAAGAAATGAGCGAATTGAACTCATACTCATGGATGTTGCCCGTGGTAGGACATTTTTGACGTTGTTTAATATTTTGTCACAATTTCACAATTGTGGGACAAGAAAAAATCTGCATTGCCATGAAGAATTGAACCCTGGACCTTTGAATTCTGAACTCTGTTCTGTTTACATGTAACAGATGTTAGTTGTGCAAGTAGTAGAAATCTGATCCAGAGACCTTGCCATGAGAGTGATGCAGTAGCAGATTGTCGACTCACTGATGGTATCATACCAGACTTGCTTCCAGAGGAGTTTGTGGAACGAATGAAACTCTGGAATCAGGCTCATAGTGAGTAGCAGTGGTGTTGTCCATTTTTACTTGAAAACAGAGAAAACCTTGTGGTTTCAATTTTACAAGATGAGTGTCTTTCTCTTCCACACATTTTGACTTTACCAGTGAGAGCCTGGGTTCTGCTCTTTGCAACAACAAATGTTTCTTGCAGAAACTTGTAACTGGTGGAACTACCTTTTCTGTTTAATATGTTCCAGTGAAAGAGATGTCATTAAATTTTAAATCAAAATGACTAGGTTTTCTAAACACATGGAAAGTACATCAGAATACTGAAAGAATGTTTCTAGAGAATATATAGCAGAAAGTTTGAAGGGTTCAGAGGAAGAGGTGCAGAACAATCATAGAATATCAGAACGGGGTGGGGGTGGGCAATGAGTACGCATGTGGTGTAGGTAGATTATTGTCCATATAGCCCCTCCCCCCCTCCAGTTGTAATACTTTTTGACTTTTTCTTGTCTTGCAATTTCTGCAGCTCTTCCAGATGAAATCCCACCAATTGACAAAGATGGACTGGTCGTATCATTTGAATGCAGATCTCTGTTTTCAAATGTTATGGAAATTAAGATCTCAGCCTATAATGCAAATTCTGTTCCACTGCAAGAAGTTGTGGTGGATCTTCAAGTACCCACAGTAAGTTGCAAACACCATTTTACTTTTTAATCTAAGAGCATTTCTTAGAACAGATTTTATAGTCAATTGGCCACTCTTGATGAATTGAATGACTGACTGACAGATTGATGGATTGATTGGTTGGTTGATGGTTATATCAATTTTAAAAATTTAAAGGTGTGATTAGGGATCTCTAGTTTGAGTGAACTATTTTGGATTTGTTTTTAGCCAGTTGAGAGCAAAGTTCGCCTTCTCTCTGGTGAAGTCCTTGATAAAAATGGAGGAGTTTTACAACAAGTAGTTCAGTTGTCCAGACTACAAAAATTACTGGTATGTGTTAGCTTTCTAATAATCTGGTAGGTAATCAAAACTTTACTCAGTTTGAAAACCTAACTGGCTCATCCATCCACTAGGGGTGGGTTAGTAGACTGCCTCTACCACTCCTCCCCAGGCTTTAGTTGTTTTTAGGGTGCATTAACACACTCCACCGGGTAATCTCTATTCAATGCTCCTTCATTATCTTTTGTAATTGTTTAATTGGAGTTGACTTGGTGAAGCTAAAAAGAACAAGGTTTGTTTGAATCAGGGCTGACAAGGTTATGAAATATCATTTTTTCTGCTGGATGTAGGGTGAGGGTTTCAAGAAACTTGCCACCACCCACCCACCCNTCGTTTTAAGTTCATATTTCGAATGAAGAAGTTACGCGTAAAAATCTGAATATCTTCCTTTCCTCTCTCTCTCTTAATGTGCAGGATCCACTAGTAGTGACACTTAAAATGTATTACCGAATGGGAAACGAAATGCGCGATTGGGAAGAGACTGTCCGCCTTGGCTGCCCGCTGGTCTCGTCCGTGTTTGTTCAATGGGACTGGTGGATAACATGCGGCAGATTGCCTGGAGTGAAATGTACACAGGTTTAAATTTTCACGTGTTTTTCACATCACGTGACTCTAAGGCCACGTGGCTCTAAGGTCACATGACAAGCTGGATGTGACGTTAGATCTGTCGCTGAATTGAGTCAGAGAAGGGGAGCAAAAGGCGAAAAAGTGGGGGGGTGGGGATCCTATACCAGTCTTAACTGGACATGTAAAGATGTTACGCCTTAAAATTAGGTTTCCTTAAAGAAACTGTTCAATATGTACTCAACAAAAAGCGGTACCATGAGTTAAGAAGGAACTAACCTAAAGCAAACCAAACTTTATTTTATTGCGTGTGAGTTTGCATCTATTAAAAGACTGTTCCTTCCACTTCCCTTTCCTTCAACCTCTGACTTCCGGAAATGAAAGGTTTATGCTTTTCCAAAGTTTGATGTTAAACTAAAGACGGAGAAAACTTTTGCCCTGCAAAAAAAAAAAAGACTTTTTTTCGACAGTTGGTTTTGCAACAAAACTGATGATGACTAGGTCATCGCTATTTGGCCATTTGATCGTGCGATAACAGAATGCAGCTTAGGGACCTTCGCCAAGGTGGTCGAGCTTTGCTAAGGTGATTAACCGGCTCGTATTAGCTGTAAGATGTGATGGCTGCAAGGGTTATTCTAGAAATTGGGCCAAGACCTTCCAGTGGGCCCCTTTCTTAAATTTTTGTTTGGCCCTTTTTCAAGAAAGGATCCAACGAAAGAGGTATTTAAATTCGTTGAAAGAATCTAGTCAGTGAGGAAACCAAGATGAGATAGGCAGTTGAGACAGTTAAAAGCTATAAAGTTTGAAAGGACTCTTAGATATAAACTATTGTACCAACTACGCCTAGACGAAAATTTTATGCTTTGTTTTCTCTCGAACTGCGAAAATCTCTCAAAGCTGCGTCCTAGAATGAAACCTGCAGCCATACAAGGTTACTATTGTTGTCTAGGTGTGTTGTGAAAATTTTTCAGAGGCCTTTCAATCTTTTTTTATATTTTTCGTTCTAAGTTATTGTTGAAAGAGTGCCTTAGTTTTATAAGGTAGATTTTTAAAATTAAAATTCAACTTAAACGTTTGAAAGTCTTACGCAATTTATAAATCCCTTTCTAATACAGATTTGATAATTGTAGAGTCCTGGAGATGCGATCTTTTTGTACCTGTTCTGGTCTTGGGAAAAGTATATCTTGAATTAAATAAAAAGAAACTTGTAAAAAGTGTAAAATATTTGATATTAATGTCGCATTTCAAGTCTTACTTATTGTGCCAGAAAACAATTTTGTGGGGTGGGGTGGGAGATTTGGGAGCCATGCGGTCCCTCCTCTTCCTATGGTGAAAATGACGACATCGTATCTTTTAATAAAAGTTTACGCCTTACAGATAACCCGGAATTTCCACGCCAATCGCGGAAAAGAGGAAAAGACAAAAAAACCAGGAGAAATATATAATTAAGTAATTTGTCTTATCCGGTACGGCCCTTTTGCCTCTTCTCCAATGGGGGAAACCATTCCGAGGATTTTTCTAATCATTGCGACCTCTTTCCTCGCGCATGGCAGCTAGGGTGCTAACTTCTTTCCTTTGTGGAGAACTCCTTCTAGCCATGGATCACCCATAAGTAACGCACCCGTCGTCCTATGGAAATCTTCAAGGCAATTGGTAATTAATTTCAAAGTGTCTAAGGATAGAATCATTCTGATTCTGAAGGACTCACCCAGGCATGTTGACTGGGAGTCTGACAATGCAGCATAAGGGACCAAACACAATGGACCTTCGGGAGCCAAGCAGACCTCATCTCCATCGAGGAGATTCACGATTGGCACAATAGTGGTCTCGTAAAGTTTTTTTATTATGTCTTCCTGAGAAGGATTGCTGAAAAGGAAATCATTTTGTCCTCGTTCATCGTTGCTCTCACAGTGTGAACAGTCTTCATCCTTGACTCGAACCTTTATTCCAAGTTTTCCTGGCAAGGTCTCTGTGAAGATTGTAACTTCCCCCTCTGAAATGTAACAGTTGATTTGTTTTTCTCTCTCGGTTACATCGTTGCCTTTCTGAATGACCCAGTAGGAAATCTTTCCCGCGTTAATTGCTGCAAAGGCTGCATTTGGTGGAAGGAAACTCAGAGAGGAACAGGCAGATTTCTCTCTGAAGGAGTTTGACTGGTGGTACTCTTCGCCAGATCCATAATTCAATTCCAAGAGACCTCTCTGCTTGCGCTCTTCCTCTATCAGCAGTGTGGAGAGCCTTGGCTACCTCACCCAGTTTAAGATGAAGCCGCCACAAGAGAGTGAATGCATCTACATACAAATCACGGAAAGAAATCGTCCACTCTTCTATAGGTTGTAAACTTGCTCTGACCTCATCAAACAACAGCACGCTTAAGTGACAGCAATCATAAGCCGCCCTGGCAAGAGATTCTTGGGATGCAAGGGTCAAA